GGGGGGGGGGTTCTATCTTTATGTCTCACTTTCTCCTAGCACTAAATAAAATAGCTGTTACTATTGTGTCAATGTGATTCGCTACTTTTTACTTTTTATCAAACTAAACCACTGCAGATCCTTCCACTTTTTTTTTTATCGTTTTTTTTTCTTCTGCCAATCTGTCTTACTTTCTCCCAGCTCCACTCTAACTGTGATCATTATAGTGTCGATGTTTTTCTCTTTATATATATAAAAAAACAAGTAAAAAAAAACAAATTAAAAAAAAACTGCCAACAAATAGATCTAGCATTATATTGACGTAGGTTTTAACGAAAATCGAAAGGCGTGAGCAAACAAGATGGATTTCTGTAAATAAGTGTGCATTAACACGTGGTTTTTACAGCACAATCGGAGTTGTTTGGTTTTTTGTTGTGTTTTTGTTTTTTTTGCTTTTTGGGGGGTTTTTTCTGTTTTTATTATGGATTTTTTTCTCCTTTTGTTCTGTTTATAGTTTTGATTTGTTTTTGTTGCTTTTTGTTTTTTGTTTTTGTTTTTTGTCATTTTGTTTGGTTTGGGTTTTTTATGTAGGGGGTGTTTAGTTTGAACGATCCTTAATTGTAATTGCAATCGTAAATGTTTTAAATCTTTTTTTAGTTTTAGTTTTTTTAGTAGAGGTTTTACCACCCTCGCAACTGCATCAGGTCATATGAGCGCCAGAAGATGAGAGGTGTCACAAGAGAGTAACAAACATAAAAAAGAAGGAGGAGAGATAAGGACGATAGATGTTTGATAGGAAAGAAGAAGCAAACCACACCAGAGCACCCGCCAACCACCCACTTTAAATATTTGTGCACACATTTTAATCCCAGCTTTGCGAAGTACGAACGTTGAAACGGAAAGACAGACACTTGATTTTCGATCTGATACATCCTACAAAGTGGGAAACGAACTCACGACTTGAGTGTGCACAGCCAAGAGCCTAACTACTCAACCTCACAGATACCGGTCTTTGGGGTGGCTGGCGGGTGCTCTGGTGTGGTTTGCTCCTTTTTGCGTACCAAATATCTGTGATCGTTATATCTCTCTATCTTCTTTTCTCTGTATTTTACTCTTTAGTACCGGTAACACGTCTAATACTAATAGTCGGTACGTACATACCAGCGGCGCCCTCCAACCACCCACACAGACAAGACAGAAAGAAACAACAGAGCAAAAAGTAAAGAAGTAGGACCTACCAGTGGCGCCCTCCAACCACCCAAACAGACAGACAGAAATTACACAGGGAAAGTAGAGAAGTAGCAGTGGCGCCCTCCAACCACCCACACAGACGGAAACAACAGAGGGACGGTAAAGAGGCGGGACCTACCAGTGGCACCCTCCAACCATTCCGAGGAAAAGTAAGACAGACACACACACACACACACACACACACACACACACACACACACACACACACA